CCAGAAAAGGGAACAGTCATGTGGCCCTCGCAGGAAAAAGTTTGGGGACCCCTGATTTAGACCATCACAAACCACACTCCATACCAGTAAGTGGCGGTAATCCTACTAAAAATTTCCTGCCAACCGCTATAAAACCGACAAGAAGAAGAAGAACTCTGATGGGAGGAAAATAAGCTCCTCCCTCCTTCCTCGTCTTCCTTGGAGTGAAATTTGAAAACGGCTCCATTTTGGTCATCTCCTGCTGTTCTAAATGGTAAGTACAACTTCTTCAATCTTTGGTCAAGCACTTTTAAGTTGATAGTGATGTGATTTTATCCCCCCACTAATTTAATACTACCATATTTTCCGCACTATAAGGCGCACCTAAAAACCTTCAATTTCCTCAAAAACCGACAGTACGCCTTATAATCCGGTGTGCCTTATATATGGACCAATATTGAGCCATAACAGGTCTAGCAACTATGATAAGCAGCCACCGACTTAATTTTCGCCCGTAGAAGAAGAAGCGCGCAGTGCATGCTGGGATAGTTGTCAGAACGCTGTTTTGTAATCTATTAATAAAGTTTGACTGACCTATCAACCTACCGACAGTCTAGACTCAGGTCATCTACAGGTCATTTAGCACCACGTTCTCCACGAACATGCTGTGCGCGAACAGAGAAGAGTGACCATCATCCGGCCACGCCCCGGCCCAGTCGCAGAAGGCTCTCCTCGCCGACCGGAGTAGGACTGTTTTGTTGACATTCCCGTTAGTGCAGTTCCATCTAGTGGATACATAACGTAACTCCAGCCTCTGTAGCATCTATTCTATGTGCCTTATAATGCAGTGCGCCTTATATATGAAAAAAGTTTTAAAATAGGCCATTCATTGAAGGTGCGCATTATAATCCGGTGCGGCTTATAGTGCGGAAAATATGATATGTCTATTTTGTAATAACTATACCCGATGTACTAGCTAGCAGCCCATGTGTGGGTTGCTTGTTAGCAGCTGTAGCACTTACAATAGTAATACCGTTGTAGCTGTAACTTTTACACAAACACACACACATAAAATATCAGACTGTCTACTTGTGAAAAATAAAGTTCTATTTTTGTACCTTTTAAAATAATCATTTTGGCCATGGGAATGTAAAAGCTAATAGCCTCTGCTAATAGGCGGACGACGCCAAAGTGTCACATTCTCCAATGGGCAGATAGTATTGCACACTGAGGGGAACATTTGACTTAAGTTAGTTTTGCTTTGTCTAGGTTTATTCCATACACCAGTAAGATGCTGATCCAGTATCATCGTGACCTGGACACGTATGGGAAATTGGATGAGGTTAGAGCAGGGGTGAGCAATCCTGGTCCTCGAGGGCCGGTGTCCTGCAACTCTTAGATGTCTCCGTGGTCCAACACACTTGAATCCAACAGCCGATCACCTCCTAAATGCAGTCAAGTTCTCCAGAGTCCTGCTAATGACCTCATTATTTGACTCAGGTGTGTTGAAGTAGAGACACATCTAAAAGTTGCAGGAGCCCAGCCCTTGAGGCCTGAAGTTCCCCCCTCCCCCCTGGGTTAGAGGGCGGTTTATCTTTAATCAGCTCCATGAGGAAGGTTTGTGGTTTTTAATTTAATCTCTGTGGGGTGGAATGACAGGTATTCTTTTTAAAAATGTACTTGGTTTTCAACACTACTTGTACAAATTTGTGGTGAGTAAGGTTTTGGTTTTTTTCTCTGTTAATTTAGGTTTTTGTGTCGTTTTCAGTTAATTGAGTCAGCGTTGTCCTGTCTACCCCTTGATTGTTCCCTGTCTGTTCTCTGTCAGGTCCTTGTCTTACTGTTGTGTTGTGCTTTTGTGACTCCTCACCAGATGCTACCAGTGTTGGAGCTTTGCTATTGTTAACCTGTGCTGCCTGGATTTCTTGTTTTCTGTAGATTTTCCATTAAGCCATTATTCTCATCCATGTACCTGCGTCCTGCCGTGTCCATCCTCACCACTTCAAACCCCAACTCATGACAGTATTTTCAATTTACCAATATGTTCACCATGCTAATCAGATGAACTCAAAATACTAATAACTCAAATAAAGCTAATTGGAAAATCTGGCTGCGTATCTAATTACACTCTAATATTTTGCCTTCTTACTTTTCCAGTCATCGAAAGATTTTGCCTGCCACCTGATGCCAAAGATGCATCCAAGGATGCAACAGATGCTGACGTTGATGGAGAAATTTTCAGTGACCTCAGTAGACAAGTCAATGTTATGCTGAAAGTTTTCTGCCATGATGGCAAGATATAAAAGCAAATTAAAACAAGCGTCAAAAAGATTTTACAAAAGGATGTTTTTTCTTCTCCAGAGTTTTCAGAATGTTCAACTGCTTCTGAGCCTTTCTCAAGCTTCAGCTCAAATGCATCAACGTCAACAATAATATTATGGATGAGATATTGTGCAAGAAGCAAAAAGGTGACAATGCTGATAATGGAGTGTCTGCTAAAAAGGTAACATGATGTCAGTGTGCCCCTAACTCTTTAAACTTCTTGTGCCATATTTGGGTTATCTAAATGTCTCTATATATTTCTTATTTCTGTAATTCTTCATTTCATAGCTAGTTGAAGGTGTCCTACAAAAGATGTCTGGTGGTGAAGAAGTTCTGCAAAACTGTGGAACAACAGAAACCCTCAGTGATGCCACAAGAAGACAAATGATGAACATACTAGTGGCTCACAGGATTAACAAACATAGGTAGGTGTGTTTTTACACTTTTAAATTTGTTAAAAAGTCAATGTTTTCACTAAAATGAAATATCCTGTCAGGCACCTTCCTGCTAAACCAATCAGAGAGGAGTATGCCTTGAGGATGGTGACATCTCCTTCCATCACCACCTGAAGTCTCCAGGAATCAGTGCAAGGGATGCAGTCGAGACACTTGCTGTCTTTTATAAGGTCACTGAAATAAAAATATGTGTAGTAATTTGTCACGTTGCTTTTATAGATATTATATTCAACAGGTGATTAAATGGCAGCTTTGAGTATGCCAGGGAAGACATTAATTTCTTTCATTAGCTGTAGTATGACTCCTTAAAGTTTTACAATGGCTGTAGCCATATGTCTGGTTCCTTATGTTTGGTTTATATATTTTTTTTTAATTTAAGTCATGCTGCAGTTTAGAGGAACATCTCCAGGACCAATAGGATCTGCAGCGTGATAAGAAAAAAAAATAATTTATTTGGAACAATTTTTGTTTAAAAGGTGGTCATTTAATAAAAAAACTTCTATGCAGCTATTGTATACAAGAATAGCTGTATAGCTATTGTAGAACTATACAACCATTGTATGTATTTTATGAAGATGAATTCCGAGATTACATGGCATTATGCGTAACAGAAGCAGTAGTCAGTTAAGAAGTCACCTTTACAGAGAGCCTGCATATCTATGTGCAAACTTTGCCTCCTGTGTCCTAAATCTTTATTTACACCTTCAAAACCAATGGCTGTAAGTCTAAACTTTGTCCGTTTTGTTATGTGTTTTATAAGAAGTTTATTTAGATATTGTTTTGTGGATGTGTTTATTCCAGGAATTAGCCCAAGAGCTTTTTTGCATAGCAATTATGCTAAAGATCTAATTAGCATACAAAAAGATCGCTAAAATGAACTTTTATTACTAGTAACACCTAAGGTTAATTCTAATGTATGGTTCTGGCACTAGCAATGTTATTTGGTGCATTTATTTCACATAAGAAAACTGATGCATATTTTATTTTCTGTTTGTTTTTATAGTTTCTCTCAACCCTTTCATTGAGCTTTTAAGCAATAATTGTAAGCTGTCAAGACTGTTCCTGGCTCATAAAAATTGAGTTTGGCTTGCTGTTGATCTATGTTAACATACACAGTCTATCCAACATGTAGTGATAACTGTGCAAAGTGCCTGAAAAATATTGAGTCATGAATTCTTTCCTTTTTCTTTGTGCTTTGCATCCATGAAGCCTCCTTATCAATAGCTTTGCGATTTGGGATTGTAGTTCAGTTATTGTTAGAGGTCTTGAGATGCTAATCAGCATCTTTCAGTTTTAAATTGTCTGTACAATTCATAACCAGAAACCAGGTTGAGGAGGATGTTGCAATAGCACCCAAAGCAGGTGTTGTAAAGTCCTCTGAGCTGAAAGGAATTGGAAACAGACAGCATCACTGGACTCTCAGTGGTCCCGGTTAATGAAAAACTTCAGATGCAACTCATGATGCAGTTGACAGTAGGCCGAGCTTCTATTTAGCCCTGAAAACATCAAGCAGAAACACAGCTGAGTAAGTGTTGTTTCTTAATGTTCCCTAAATGATGCTCATGCAGATCTGGGACACCAGAAGTGACTAAGCTCCTTATTATGATGCACAGAGAAGACAGACGGTGACTCATCTGAAAAGGGTAACAAGTTGATGTATATCTGAGTGTGACCGGGAAAGGACGAACAAGATTTGAAGGAACTCTGAGCTTATTAGCATTTCTCAACACGCAAAGAGGCCGATAAAGAGGAGAGCACATGCAGAGCGAGAAGAAACGGGGACGAGAGCGGATCTGGTGCTCTGCTCCATTACAATGGTAATTAACAGCAGATAAGCAGCCTGATCGAATGTGCTCAGGCTAATTTTACCAGCTAATGGCCTCCAATCCCTTGGTACTTATTATTTTTGAAATTATTTTTATCTGACTCTCAGAATGATAAAGAAACCCAATTTAGTTTTTTTTTTGTTTTTTTGTTTTTTTTAACCATGTTTTCCATGTCTGAGAAATTGATTTATCATTGAGGGAAATGTTGTAAAAGTGCAAAGGCATTGCTTCCCTCCCATAGAGCCCGTCCCTGTGGAGAAGAATGGGAAGGAAGGAGAGTGCTGTTTAGGGCTTTTTTTGGACAAAAGCTGGTCACAGGCAGCAATGAAGAGAAAAGGCTCAGTGCTTATGAGTTCAGTTATACATAAATGCATTACTGGACTGTGATTTAAAACCACCGTAAAGTCCTCAGCTGCACTAAACCCTCTGAAAAGCAGTTATATAAGATGTGCTTCAACTGCAGGAGCCATTTCCACAACCCTGCTTGTCCTCAGTTCCCTCAGTTTTAACGCAGCACACCTACAGGAGCCAAGATTCTAGATTCAAAATAAGATTCCAAAAATGAAATGTTCACTCATCCACTTACAACATGTTGCTCTTTGCTTTTTAAATTTTAAACATAAATTGTAACAACTTATCTGCTTAGACTTACAAAAAGTGGGCTGTAGCAAGAGCAGCAGCCATATGCGATACATTTTGGCTGTGATTCCATTACAAATGTGAGCAAAACATTGGTATTCTGCTAATGCTGAAAAACAAAAACAATTTCTCATTTGTGGTGTTTCCATTAAATAACAAACACAATTAAAATCACATATATAATTTTGTTCTCGATAAGTCGGACTAGCCAGCTGCAGTTAGCAAACACTTGGTGGAACTGCACATCTGCTGAACTCATTATAGGAGCTACTTCTCAGTGCAGTGCTGGTAAAAATGTTGTTAAAGGGTTAATAGAGGAGGCATGTTGTGATGACTTCCTGAAGGCGGAGTTTTAGAAAGACTAGGAGTTTCTTAAAGAGACAGAAGCCCAATTTCAAGGTGTTAAATTACAAATAACTGAATGTAACACTAGACTGAGCTATAAAATGGCATTTCCTTGAAAATAAGTCCTGAACCAGACAAGCTTTTAAATATGAGAGGCCCCATAGGCCAAAACCTACAAACTCTCTTACACGTACTATCAAACCCTCT